CTTGTATTCCTCAAGCACCCTATCTGTTTCCATATCAGTCCGATCAGATAGCGCATTGTATTTGTTTTTGAGGGTCTCGCTCGTTAATACTTCCATTTTCATTATTTTTAATTTCTTCCCAGGCGCCTGCCTGGGAATATTCTTGTATTCTTCAATATATACAGCACTGATTTTAATAAAGTTAATCAAAAGACCTAGAAAAAATTTAAATTTAGAAAAATCACTTGCTAATATGGCTTATCCTCTAACCATTAGCAACACCAATCCGGTGTTTGGAAAGAGGAGTCAGCAGCAGGCACGTTCACCTTATAATTTTGACAAGATATTATATATCTTGAGAGAATTGCACCTGATTGCTTTTAAAAAAGCACGATTTTAAATCGATATCGGGTGAATTCCAGACTTTATGCTCATTACACAAAAATCGAATGACATTCACTGAAAAAAGTTTTTTCTGGATCTACTACGAACGTAATGGGGATTTACGAGATTTACCGGCACAGCACAGTATAGTGCGTATAGGGTTTAGCGTTCGACTTACGCATGACATGACGGGAGTGGATACTCGCGACATCTGCGCTAACTAGCGTCGTAGTCTTCAATTACACGTTGGCGTTTTCGTTGCATTTGTACGGATTTACACCCATGTCGCGCCTAAAGAAGTTTTTACACCCATGTTGCGCCTAAAGAAGTTTTACTTCAAAAATAATAATAATAAATATAAAAAGTAAATCTTGAATTAAATCATGCGATCCACCCGGGTTTAATACGCTAAAATGCATCACCCGACTCCAATTTATATGACTTTAACCGCATTCATTGTCTTCAAGTCGATATGAATTCATCCGAGTTCCTATGACTCAAACCGACTCATTTCGACTTCAAGTCGATATGAATTGATCCGAGCTCCGATGACTCAAAACAACTCATTTCGTCTTCAAGTCGATATGAATTTATCCGAGTTCTTATGACTCAAACCGACTTATTCCGACTTCAAGTCGATATGAATTTATCCGAGTTTATATGACTCAAACTGAATCATACCGACTTGAGTTCGAAACATGTGTCCGTGTTTTAGCGTATCGACTTATCGAGATGCTGTGCGTATGGGTCTTGTTTATTTTTGACTAAGCGCTGAGAGCAAATTTGTTCATGAAATATCAAAAACTCATTTAGTTAATAAATACGCGATTTAGATTTTAATTCTTATCAAAATAAACTACACAACGAGTTTTATACACATACAAAATTATCATATTTTAATTATGCAAGTAATGGCAAATTCACACAAATGAAATAATATCAATCTTTACAGTAGTGGGTTGAATTTTAAGTCATTCGTAAGATGTTTGATTCAGCCCTCTGTTTAGATTAGATCTAAACAATCAATAATATACACATGCATTCGTTCAACGTAAGATTAGGAATATTGTTTTATATGCTTTAGTGACAGAGAAGTGTTTCGTTATATTTCACTGTAAATTCACTTGAAATATTAGTTATATTTGTAGCTAATTTATTGTTATATATAATATAAATGTATTCATCTCTGCACTTTTTGGAATTAATTGCTTACTAAATTAATTATTTCACTTATAAAATTATTAAAATGATATTATTTCTTCTCTTAAATTATAATTGTTCATATATGAACTTGATTCGAATCAGGTTTTTTGAATCATAAAAAATTCTTTTTTAATTCTACGGTTGGGCTGCAAAAATATTACAAATATATATATATATATATATATATACTAGATGACCCGACAGACGTTGTCCTGTACCCACCCCTAAGTTTTTTTAATATCCTATACTAATATTTATACCGTTCAGTTGAAAATAATCATTATTGTTTTTTGACTTACTATTTACACCAATATATGAGTGATGTTAAATGTAGTACTGTTTCAAATAAAATGATTATTCTCAATTCCCACAGTTAAAACTTTAATTATTGCTTTAACTAATATTAAAATATGTTCAATAAAATTATATATTAAAATTTATACACTGCGATTTATAGAACAAATTTATTTCCAATAGCTCATTTTATTTTATTGAATTTAAGGGTTATACAATATTTTTAGACATACCTGTAGATGTGGATGTTTGAATGAATGATTCTTTGTTTATTCACGGCTAAAACATTAATTTTCCAAATTTATCACCATGTATTTATTGTCATAGCATAGATACACGTGTTGAAAATTGAAATCTTTTAAAAAGTATAACAAATTCAGAAAGAATTAATATATAGCATGCGGTCAAGGTACAATATCACCTTGGATTTTTCTACCCAAAATAATTGCTTCAATAATGTTGCCTACAATTTTTATAATTCCGCACCATATTTTAACTGGCTTTTAGTATTTTAATATCTAAATTGCATTTTCACACTGATAATTCAATATACATTATTACTTAAGTTCATATTTGAAGTGAAATAATTTGTCAAATTCACATGTGCTCTATTCAACCTACTATCAGCAAAATTATTGCAGTAAATGGAGAGGAAAAAACCGTATGCCCAGCTAATCTTAATCTAAAGTTCAGAAGTGAAAACAATTTGCATTTCGTCATCACCCCCCGCATTAATTGGATTATAACTCTTTTAATTCTGATTTTATCATAACTTGTAATATACTATTTTAAAGGTGATTAAATGAGCTACAACTTTCTCTATCATAAATTTTACCGTAACTTCTCTTATTTTGAAACGGCGAAGGGGTAAAGGGCTCGAAAGACACTTCGGTTGGACAGCCGCGCACTCTTTAAACAATTAGAACTCTATTATTATATTTGTGTAACAAAAAAAAAATAAAAAGCAATCATTAGTCTGAAAAATACCTTGAATTTTCATATATATACTTTTATACGTATTCTTTCAGAGATATTATAATGAGAAAATGTTTTTTTTAAAGGATTTTTTTATGAAATCACGAGTTTTTTGAAAATTGTCTATACTAATATTATGGTATTTTCTAGAATCCATCAAGACCTCTCAAACCAAGTTGATTCTAGATGGAAAACGACTATTTTTAATTTTGGTGGAAATGGCATTCATAAACTATTTGATTTAAATGAAAAAAAAAATTGTATGCGTCTTTTAATTGCATGATAGCTCACTCATTTTACACGCAGAAGTAATTCTTTTAAAGCTTATTTGGAGAACTATAAAAACCCATTTTCATAATTAACTTAATATTGTTCCTAGAACACTGTAAAATAGCAATTTATTAGGATTTTTAGTGATATAATTTTGTTCATTATATAATTTTCGTTAAAATGTATATTTTTGAAAATATTAGCAAAAAACGATCAAAAACGCAAAAAAGAAACAAATTTTCAGTAGCCAGTAACTTGAAAAGTATTTGCTTTTTTGAAAAACATTATTAAACATTTTTCTCTTATAATTAGTTCTTTTATCCACACCCAACGTTATTACACCACTGAAAAGAAATGGAATCCCCCCGGGTAGTGCAAAGGAGTCTAAACTGTTTTCACTTTTGATCTTGAGAGTAAGATGAGCGTAATTCCAAAATGCCAAACGAATTGGAAAACAGTAAAAAAAAGTTCAGACCCAAAGCGTTCCATTGAGTAAATATTCCGTACAAAATGCCAACCATATGAATTTTTGACACAATGAAACTTCTAAATAATTTTTTGAATAAGTAATTTTTTTGTATTATGACTTAGTATAGTAAGGCAAAACGACCGCAAATTGAATATTTTTGAGCGCAATCACTTATGGCTCGTCCCCTTTGCACGAATTCGTACGGCGAATCTGTTCGCAAAGTGCGCAGACAAAATTATTGCAAGCAAAAGCAAACCACGTACACGTTGAGAACACGATTCGCCGTGCGCGTCAGTCGCATGCGCAGACTGTCCGACGCATGTTATATTATTTGCATCTTAAATTATTTTAATTATGGCACATCTCAGCTGCTTTTCGACCACAATAATGTAGACATTACATTTTCTTTATTTTTAATCATGAATTTATTATATTTTAATATTGCCTTAGCCTATAAGTGAATAGAAATGTTTGGCAAATGACAGTTGTCATTTCTTTTTAATGTAAAACCATGCCTTAAATATTTTAAAGGTCAAACAATGATAAGCGGTTTTTTGTAATTTTTTCCATACATTTCTACATACTAACTATATTTCTATGAATCAAAACATTCTAAAAATTTTCCCGAACAAACTTCAGGAAGATTCATGAAAATCCGAATTATAGTTTAAGAGGATTAATGAAACTTACATTGTTACAGAAGAATTTTATATATAAGATATATATATATATATATATATATATATATATCAGTAAAATACCTGAAGTCTCTAATAAAAACTTTTAAACCTGATTGCTTCTAACTTACGTGATTACTGACTCGATATAAAGTAATTTAAATTTTATATGACTTAATTTATACCCTCAAACTTTTATTATTAGTTATCATAATTATAGCTTATGATACTGATTGATCTATAGTTTTTTGTTAAAATGTAGACAGTTTTTCCAAAAGTTTTGTTACTTCTATTTTGACTTCACCGTTGTATAAAATTATAAACATTTTAGTATTTCATAATATATTACGTTATAATATCAAGAATGACAAACAGTATTATAAAATATAATTATGCAATTCATATAACCAGAAAATATTTATGGGTAACTGGGTGCTGGCCACAAAAGGATCGGGGCGTTTGGTACAATGTAGTATATTCATTATGGACTTTTATAGCATATATGTTTATATTAGGTATACAAATAATTATTCTTAGTAATACTAGTATCGGATTTATATAAAATTTCAACAGGATTTTACGTGATCATACAAGGAGCTAATGCTATTGTAAACTTAGGAAACGTGGATGAAATGACAGGATCATTATTCTTGTTGCTGACCAATGTCACGCACAGTTTCAAATATTTTGTATGCATCTATCGAAGTTCTGATATGGACGAACTAATAAACTATGCTCGAAAACGAAAAATGGAAGGACACACAGATTCAGATATTAAAATAATCAAAAGGTAATAGCCGAATATATTACTTGTTTTAATTATGTTGAATATTAAATTAGTTGTTTGTTCCAGAAACGAGCGGAATAGTATGATTAATGCATTAGTCTTTTTTGTATTAGCCTTATTTTGCGTAATTGGATGGGCCTTAGTTCCAGTAATGGAGCATAACACGGTTGGAAATAGGAGAACGTTACCCTTACCGGCATGGTAAGCAGGATTCAGATCTTACTTTTATATATATATATATATATATATATATATATATAGGGTAGAGCAGGACTTAAATGTCCGCGGGTAAAAAGGTTCATCACCGTCATCTCAAAAACCAGTGAAGTTAAGAATTTTCAACAACATTACTAGAAAGTAGGGGAAACAAATGTACAACCGATGTTTTTCGAATCATTCAAATCTGTTCATCCGTGTCGACGAAAAATTGTATTCGCACATACATACTTACACACACACACGAATACATCTACTTTTTTAAGATATGCTAAAATATTCTGAAACCTTTAAAATTTTCATTTTCGATTTTTTGCGATTGCTATAACTCATGTTAAGTAAAGCAGTTTTACAACAGATAAATATAATAAATTAGCATAAATAGTCTAAATAGATAAAATTAGATAAATAGTCCTAATAATATTCAAATAAATAGTTATTACAACTCTGCTGATGAGCAAATACCGGATAAAAGTTATTCAGTGTTATTTCTGTAAGAAAAAATATTAATTTTTATTTTTGATTTGTTATATAATGTAGCTATTATTTTGTAAAATCCCTTTAAAATGGAAGTAAAACAATGGATATTTTCAATATATAATTCCCCCTATTCAATAAATATTCAACCCCTAGACATCCCAATTTACCCCTCATGCGGGGTTAATAGACTAGATTACTACGTGTATATACTTGGCACCGCGATGGTGGAAATTGGCAAAACTGATATGACCTGATTTTTTGACGATTTTTTTGCTGTCGATTGGTGCAAACTAAAATTTTTTTGCTCTTTCCGTTCTCGAGATAAATGGGTGGGGCCAAATTCGGTGCTAACTATATATATAGTCAGCACCGACCCCTTTAAAAATGCAAAAAAATTAAAATTTCTTTTTATTATCGTTATCAGTGATTTTTTTGCTGTCGAATGGTGCAATTAATTTTTGGAAAAGTTTTACCCATCATACATTTTCACGCATAAGAAAATTCCCATTTTTGCCAATTTAAAAAAATTGACAAATTTGAAAATGCCCAATTTTTTTGCTCGCTTACTTAAATATAAAACAAAAAAAAATTTTTCAAAAAATTCATTTTTTCACCCCTTTTCAGAGAGGTTGCCAATTTTTTTGGGTGTCCACAGGTCACTTTTTCAAAATTTTAAAAATTGTTTCGGAATCTGTGATTTTTTTGCTCTGCGATACAAAAAAGAAAAAATTCAAAAAAATAAATTTTAATTTTGATTTTGATCGTAGCATAAAAACGAATAGTTTGCGTCCATAAGTACTACGTAGTATACGATGCTTTTCAATTTATTTACTTACCCCAAAACAGACTTAATGAATCAATTAGTCACAATATTTCAGTAATTTCAGTAAATAAATAATGCGTCTTTGGCCACCCGCCGCCGAGAGACTCTACGGCGTAGAGAGTCTCTACGCACTGGGTCTCTCGATGATGAGCGAGTGAGAAAGCTATACGCAATTGAGCGAGTGAGACGGCTATATATATGCACCGCAATTCCTGTTACATTTTAACAATTTATATAAAAATTGTATGAAACTATTAATTCCTGTAGAGCACATATTTTTGTAAAGGTATTGTTGATGATTTTGTTGGAAAAAAAATAAGCATATTTAAAGCGGATTGCAATTCGTTTTCATACTAGGAAAAAAATCAAAATTAAAACTTATTTTTTTTAATTTTTCTTTTTTGTATCGCAGAGCAAAAAAATCACAGATTCCGAAACAATTTTTAAATTTTTGAAAAAGTGACCCCAAAAAATTGGCAACCCCTCTGAAAAGGGGTGAAAAAATAAATTTTTTAAATTTTTTGTTTGTTTTATATGTAAATAAATAATGCGTCTTTGGCCACCGCCGCCGAGAGACTCTACGGCGTAGAGAGGCTCTACGCACTGGGTCTCTCGATGATGAGCGAGGAGAAAGCTATACGCAATTGAGCGAGTGAGACGGCTATATATTGCACCGCAATTCCTGTTACATTTTAACAAATTTATATAAAATGTTGTGATGAAACTATTAATTCCTGTAGAGCACATATTTTTGTAAAGGTATTGTTGATGATTTTGTTGGGAAAAAAAATAAGCATATTTAAGCGGATTGCAATTCGTTTTCATACTAGGAAAAAAATCAAAATTAAACTTATTTTTTTTAATTTTTCTTTTTTGTATCGCAGAGCAAAAAATCACAGATTCCGAAACAATTTTTAAATTTGAAAAAGTGACCTGTGGACACCCCAAAAAATTGGCAACCCCTCTGAAAAGGGGTGAAAAAATAAATTTTTTTAAAATTTTTTTTTTGTTTATATTTAAGTAAGCGAGCAAAAAAATTGGGCATTTTCAAAATTGTCAATTTTTTTAAATTGGCAAATTTGGGAATTTCCTATGCGTGAAAATCTATGATGGGCAAAACTTTTCCAAAAATTAATTGCATCATTCGACAGCAAAAAAATCACTGATAACGATAGTAAAAAGAAATTTTAATTTTTTTGCATTTTAAAGGGGTCGGTGCTGACTATATATATAGTTAGCACCGAATTTGGCCCCACCCATTTATCTCGAGAACGGAAAGAGCAAAAAAATTTTAGTTTGCACCAATCGACAGCAAAAAAATCGTCAAAAAATCAGGTCATATCAGGTTTGCCAATTTCCACCATCGCGGTGCCAAGTATATACACGTAGATTACAATTTTTAGAACAGACAAAAAAACACGTTTGTACAATGATGAGCTGGGAGTTTTACCGAACATGTTTAAATAGTTGTTTATAGTGATATAATTAATTTAGTTTACAAAATATAATTGCTCAAAGACAAACGGACCTTTGTACCCTGTCCTAACCATTTTATATATATATATATATATATATTATATATATATATATATATATAAATCTCATTCGTCAGTTGGATCTAATAAAAATCTGTACAAGCAAATTGATGTAAATTCCGTATCGTATTCAGAATATTTACCTGTTTTAAAAAAATTGAAAATATTGCTTCAAAAATTATCGAAAAAAATCTAATTTTCATAAAATGTAGTTTTTTTTTTAATTTGAATGGTTGCAAAGGGTGCAAAAATGATCATAAAGTTTTTGAGAAAAACGGATTATCCGGCTAGAATGATTCAAATAAAAATTTTACTTGTGTCGACCGTGTGAAGAAATGCTTTTTCAAAAAATTACAAATTTCCAATGTTTTTCAAAATTAAAAAAAACGAAATTAAAAAAAAATCAAATATCAAAATATTACAGGTATCCAATCGACCAAACATTATCTCCAGCTTACGAGTTATTCTATTTTCATCAAGTGTTTGCTATAGAACTAGCAGCATGTAGCAATACGTGTCTGGACTCACTGGCAGGAAACTTAATGGCTCTTTCCACGTGCGAACTAGAATTACTAGCAAACAGGCTGCAAAAAATTGCAAAAGATCAACAAACATACAATACTCTTTCTACACTAGAACATATTGGTGAACAATATGATTATCAGAAGGTAATCAATGTAAATTTATACATGAAAATGATATATTGCCTCAGCACGTTCGTACAGATAATTTCTACAATTTTACCTACCAATTTACCTGTCGACCTGTTTCACTTGTCTACCAAATCACCTGTCAACCTGTTATCTGTCTTGTTATTTGTCTATCCACCAGTTGTCCGGTTTTTCTTTTACATATCTTTCAATTCACGTGAACACCAGATGACCTACAATTTGCCTGTTCACTAATTAACATATCTACCAATTTATCTATTACTTTGCTTTTCGACAATTTACCTATCAACCTGTTTATCAATACACTATTTTACCTATCAACCAGTTTACCTGTGCACCAATTTACCTGTCAACCCGTTGTATATGTCTACCAATTAACCTGTTCAACAATTTACCTGTTTAAACCATTTGTCTATCAACCTGATTATTAATCTACCATTGTATTTTAAGCAATTTCACCGGCCTACCAATTTACTGTCAACCCGTTGCCATGTCTACCAATTTACTTGTCAACCTGTTCATCTGTCTCGTTATTTGTATATATACCTGTATTTATATAAAAATCATCCAATTCACCTGACCACCAGTTTACCTATGTACCAATTGACCTGTCTACCTGTTCTTCTGTCTACGTTTCTATCTATCTATCTACTTGCTTATCTGTTTACCTGCCTATCAGTTTACCTGTCCATCAATTTAACTTTCTATCGGTTTATCTGTCTACCAATATACCTGTCAACTGTTATCTGTCTACCAATTCAGCTGTCCAATAATTTGCAAAAATATATTAATTCTGGAATTTTCGAGTGAAAAGGGTTAATATAGATCATTATTTATTTTATTATTGATGTTTGAATATTGTGAAGGTAAAAAACACATTTATCTGTCTATCAATTTACTTATCAACATGTTATCAGCACATCATTTTACCTGTCCACCAATTTACCTTTTCATATATATACTATACATATACCTCGTATGTCTACCAATTATTCTGTTCACCGATTTACATATCATCTCGTTCTACTGCCTACTAATTAACCTGCCAACCTGTTTATTTGTCTACATTCGTCTATCTACCAGTTGTACTGTACACAATTTTACATAACCTCCAATTTACCTGTCCACCAGTTGACCTATCTACCAATACACTTGTCTACCAGATCATCTGCCTATTTATCTGTCTATCTATCTATTTATCTGTCAGTTACCTATCCATCAAATTATCTGTATATCAATATACCTATCCCCTAATATACATTTCAACCTGTTCACGAATCTATCCTCCAATTTACTTGTTTAACAATTCACCTGTCCATCAATTACCTGCCTACCAATTTACTACTGATACTGAAACGGGTCGACTGGTACTTACTGTTTATCAATCCACTATTTTACCTGTCAACCTGTTCGTTTTAGAAATCATAAATGTGTTTTTACCTTCACAATATTCAAAATCATCAAGAAGAAAATAAGTAATGGTCTATATTAACCCTTCCGCTCGCAAATTATGGAATTAATATATTTTTTGCCGACGGAGCAAGAAGAACGAAAAGAATGAGAAGAAAAAGAGAAAGTAAAAAAATTTAAAATTGTGACTCCGATGAATAAATTTAGCTGCTTTTTTCCCAAAAACCCAAATTCACAAATATTGACTGGTACTTACCTGTTTATCAATCACTATTTTACCTGTCAACCTGTTCGTTTTAGAAATCATAAATGTGTTTTACCTTCACAATATTCAAAATCATCAAGAAGAAAATAAGTAATGGTCTATTAACCCTTTCGCTCGCAAATTATGGAATTAATATATTTTTTGCCGACGGAGCAAGAAGAACGAAAAGAATGAGAAGAAAAAAGAGAAAGTAAAAAAAATTTAAAATTGTGACTCCGATGAATAAATTTAGCTGCTTTTTTCCCCAAAACCCAAATTCACAAATATTATATTGCAATCGTTCTGAAACGAACTAAACAGCCGTGAAATATGCCTACTGAGGAAACCACGTAAAAAAGCGCACACTACCTCGTAGGTGGCATTTAAACGTACTTTTAAGTGATTTAAAACGGTAAATCTTAGAAAAAAAAATGATAATTTGTTTGTAGATAATTTTTTGCTTCACAATTTTGTTTGGGGTAATTTTGTGAGAAACTGACCATTTGGCTAAAAATCGCAAAAAAATCATTTTCTTACCTTTGACCTTATGCCTATTTTTTAGCTCGCACCGAAACGATGAAGACTTTTGAGAATACTGATAATTGTATTGTAAGCAATTTTGTAACTTTGAATGCGTAATTGCCCGAACTATGTTGCACCTTCTGATGATACATGCCACTGCACATTTAACAGTCACATTGCTAGTTTACTAGGTTCACATATTTTAATTCTATACGATATATTTTCTCTTTTAGAATCTAATTTATATGCATATTTTTTCATTTCTATAATAATAAATACTTTATATTATATTATGATATAGTTAAAAAGTAATATGGAAAGACGTTTATATAAAGAACTTCGAGAATGCATTATATATCACGAAGAAATTTATGAAAAAGCAAGAATTTTGCAACGATGCATAGGTCCTGTGGCATTTGCACAATTTTCAGTCAGTGCGCTCATCCTCTGCGCATCTCTCTATCAACTGGCAATGGTGAGTTACTTTCAGAATTGTATGGGTGGTATCACAAATTACATCGAGCTTAATTAAAGATATTAGGATATTAATATCCTAATATTATATTAATAGGAATGCGTGATTAATATTTTTAGGCAAATTATAATACGAATTAAAAAAAAACATATTAGATTCAACATACTGTTGTCCAACTTCGATTTTTTAAAAAATACGCTAGTCGTCCAATTTAATAAACACTTACACAAGGTATGGGCGTGTTTTCATACAGAATTAGCCCCACACTGGTATTTAAATAATTTTGATGCCATTTTATAGGTATTTTCGAGAAAATTCGAAATACTAAATTTCAAATCCGTAGCTCATTATTTGGCCAAGATATCAGTGAAAACATGTGAAAGTGGCCCCTTTTTTCAAACTCATTTTTTGTCGGAAATATGAGAGATATCAAAAAAATGTTAACGTCATTCTATTTATACTGATCTTGCTTATGCTGTTCATAACAAATAATGTGAAAAAATTTTATATATATTTTTCATTTTCCATTTTCTACCAGTGCGGCTCTTTGGACTACTTATATATTAGCATCATTCGAAAGCCTATACATTTTTCTTCTATTATTCAAAAATTCATTCAAATCTAAGTGAAACTTTGGGAGAAAAGTTGGAAAAACTTAGGCTTGTACGCGCGCTGCCGTACAAGAACACCCATATAAAGTCGCTTTGCAAGAGCGACGAGCAAGCATAAGGCTCGTCGTTTTCGCGCGTCTCGACAAATTCTGTATTTAAGTATGGAAATATTTATTAAAAACCAAAGTTTATTTATATCTTGTATATAAGTATATTCATTAGTCATAATAAAAAATCCAACGCGCCGAATAAAACAATAATTATTATTATTGATTATTTTCATTCGCCGTGTAAGCTTCTGACTAATACATTTCAATAGACAGTATGTATTCATAATAAATAATCTATTTGAATTTATTGAAAACAATTATTGATTATTTTCATTGCTCAAATATTTAATTACGGTACGGAAGTTTCAGTAATTTTCCTTACGGCACGTTGCCATGCACCACTAGTTGACTCTCTGTTTGTCGCACTGTAAAAGATATTGAAAAAAAATTGACGAAGTGCTATTTACAGTATGTTATTCATAACAAACAAAAAAGTTAAAATGTATTTTTGTACGCAAAAAGAATTTAACAAGATAAAAATAAGATTAAACTAGTTGGTATTGATATTTTGCCTTGAGGCAAGTTACATGAACATCCCGATATGTGTAAATAATCGACTCAATCAAAAAAAATAAATTAATTTATGAGTGATTAAAATTATTCCGAATGGATTTATTACACATAATTGAAAACGAACCAACACGTTTACTCGGAGTATTTTCTAAAAGAAAATTTTCAAAAATCAATATTTATAATTGAACCAGTTTCCGTAGGACTTTAATGGTTTAGCCCTACAAGGCTCATAATACTTTTATAGCTATAGGAACGAAAAACTGTGATGAATTTTTAAAATTAAACTATTTGTCGTAAGACCATAATATTTCAGTAAGTTCTATAAGACCATAATATATATCGCCAAAAAAAGCTCCATGAAAACCGGCTCAATTTTTTTCCAACAGTTAATTACAAGAAAACGACTCTGTAGATTTTCACCTTAAACTCATATCACATCATTATCATTCCCAACTAATATATTTCGAACAGTTTTTGATTTTTTAAAATCGATTCGATAGTATGAGCGTAGACAAAAAGTTTAACACTTTTTTTTCAAATTACAGAGAAACGGCTAGGCAGATCGACTCACGATAATCCTCATTGAGAAACATCAAATGGCTTTTAACTTTTGAAATCGGTTCAGGCTTTTGAGAAAACGTCGATCAAAGGTCTAAATTTGACATATGCCAAAAATCGATACTAATTTTTGCAAATTTGAAGATTTTTTAAAATTGACCGACTTGTCGTAGGGCCGTAATATTTTAGTATGGTATACAAGACTATGGTACCTACCGCGAAAAAAAAATCATAAGAATCGTCTTTTTTTTAACTTTATTACAAGAAAACGGCCTAGCCGATCTTTATTAAAAACTAATCAACACGATTCCCAACCAATATCTTTCGAACAGTTTTTGAATTTTCAAAATCGATTCAGAAATGCGGGCTAAAACGTGGTCTAAAAATTTGTCACTTTTCTGCGATTTATAAAGAAACGGCTCGGCTGCTTGTCGCACAAAACTGAGAAACATTAGTCCTCATCGAGATACATCGAATGGTTTGTAAATTTTTGAAATCGGTCCGGCCGTTTTTTGATGAAAATCGATTTACGGCAAAAAATCTGTTCACATACGCATATACACACACATACTTTTTCCAAATTTGGTCTCATTCGATTCAGAATGGCTTGAAAAGTCGAGAAAACATAAAATTAGCGAATCGTTTTTTTTTATGAAAACATAAACTTCTCCTTCGGGAAGTTAACTAGTGGTGTATAGCATCTGCCTTAAGGCAAATTGCTGGTACTTCCCGTGCCGTAACGATATGTTCGAGAAATATTAAATGTTTTCAAATAGATTATTATAAATATTGTAACATTGTCTAATATTTATAAGAATTATATAAACTGAGTTGCAAAGTTAAAACTATTAATTTAAAGTATATAAGTTTTAGAACTTTAGTCAAAATAAAATTAAGATTTGAATTATTTTCGATATACAAAAAAAAACAAATTTGAAAAAAAAAATAAAAAAATGGAAACATTTTTTTTATTTCAAAAGCAATTATTTTGTTAAAACAAGCAGAAAATTCTTTGAATCATTCAAATCGGACGCTCAGTTCTCTCAAAGACTGCGATTTTTTGCACATTTAGCTCTGTATCTTCGAAAAGGCAGGAATTTTGAAAAAAAAATAAAAAAATGGAAACATTTTTTTTATTTCAAAAGCAATTATTTTGTTAAAACAAGCAGAAAATTCTTTGAATCATTCAAATCGGACGCTCAGTTCTCTCAAAACTGCGATTTTTTGCACATTTAGCTCTGTATCTTCTTCGAAAAGGCAGGACCTGCCTTTGCCGAAAACTAATCATCTCTTCTCCCAATCATTACAAATTCAATGTTTATTAGATCATTCAAATCGGATACTCCGTTCTCTCAAAAACGTTTTGTATTTTCTGCACTCTTTTCGTATCGTATCTGCGTAACTGCTGGACCTGCCTTTGCCAAAAACTAATCAGCACATCTCCCTATCAATAGGAATCGAATGTTTTTTGAACATTTCAAATCGGTTGATCCGCGCGCCCGAAAACGTGGACGAAAAAATGCGGACATACAAAACACACACATACATACATTTTCGGCCCATTACTATAACTACTCAACGGAAAGTTAATAAATTTTTTAAAATCACAATTTTATTCTTCACAGAAATTATTGAGATTATTGTTGTTGAAAGTATGGTTCAAACTAATCACACGTTCCGAAAACTGTGATAAATGTGTTTCAAATAATTTGAAGTTTTTAATAAGTAACTAGCAAACCCGACGAACTCCGTTTCGCCACCAGATGGTTTCGTGAGAAAGATGAAGAAATTTTTTGTTTGTTTTAAATTTGAAAAGGAAAAATTTAATTTTATTATACAACAGTAATGAATTTATTTCGATTACAAAGATGAAGTATTTTTTAGTTGAACTTCTCTAAGTAAATGAAAGTGAATCCATAATTAATTCGCAAATTTTCAACTAATTTTCTTAGCTATAAACGAAACGAAATCCTTTTGTGCGTTCTGGAGTTATATCGTCAGGAAGGAAAACCCGACTTATTTTTATATATATAGAAGATAATCTATTTGAAATTATTTAAAACAGTTATTGATTATTTTTATTACTCGAATTTTTAATTACGGTGCGGGAGTTCCAGCAGCTTGCATTAAGGCACGATGCCATGCACAACTAATTTTCTTAGCTATAAACCTTGCGGAGCCCGAGACCTTTCCAACGAATACAAAATTGTCGAAATCGGTTCGTGCGTTCTGGAGTTATTTCGTCAGGAAGGAAAACCCGACTTATTTTTATATATGTAGAAGATAGATGCTAAACTACTTACTTTCTTTGCATTTATATTTAGCAATCCGGAGGTGATAAATCACCAATGGCTGCGTTTGCGACATTGTCTTACTTAGGATGCATGCTATGGCAATTATTCTTATATTGCTGGAATGGAAATGAGCTATTGATACAAGTAAATTTTTATAGCACATGTTTGTTTTATATGCTTAGCTCTGGCTATTAACTATTATCTTTCAATACAGAGTTGGAAGACGGCAGAAGCTGCATATGCGTGCAACTGGTATAATTGTTCGGCAACATTCTGTGATGCACTGCGTCTAATGATGTTGCGATGTTCTCGTCCTATAAAAATGACCGCAGGATCATTTATCGATCTATCCCTTCAAACATATGTCACGGTAAGCCAGAAATAGCCTTCTTATTGAAGCTTAAAAATTCACCGATAATGACATTAATTTTCAGATTGTTAAAGCATCTTATTCCTTTTTCACTGTTATGAATCAAAACTCCAAATAGAAGAAAATCCGGATGAAATTAATAACAAACACATAGATAAAATACTCATGTTGAAAATATGCACTAAATATAAGATATAAATTCTGTATAATAAAATTAATTAACTACTAGAATGTTAAGTTTGGTTAAAAAAAATATTACAAAAAATAACTACTGGTTTGTGGATTTGTGTCTTAAATGAAAATTCCAAAGTCAGTGGATACAAAAGTTTTAGCTATATTAAAATCCTTGAATTAAACCTTGGACTTAAGAGTCGAATAAGGATGCCTTTTGCATTGAGGCAACTTGGATAAATTTTACAATATGTGTAAATAATCAATATAACCTAGTAAGAGATCAATATATGTAAATATAAAACTACTTACTACAAATTATTCATTTGACATTAATTTGCCAAGCATACAATATCACTATATGATTAGCTATGCGGTATAACACTATATAACTCTAGTTGTATAGGATAATAAACTATAAACTATATATAACTAACTATAAACAAACACGTGTTTATAATGTATAAAGTTAGGATGTTTTAGGAACGTAGCCCAGATTCTAAAATTTTATTATTATTTTAAGATATGTGTTCAAGCAATGAACTCAATTTCTGTACAAAATTTTATTAAAATTGTTCAAGCCAAAATTATCAACAACTGGCCGCTCGATCTTTACTAAAAGTTGATCAAAAAAACGACGATAATAGGTCAAATTTTGGTTTACGTTAAATTTAGAACTATTGAAATGACGAATAACCAGTAAATTAGAACTTTGAATTTTTTGGCAAAAACAAACTTTTTTAGAAGTTAGAAAGAACTTCAACACCTTGAAAACTGTGTCGAAAATCGTGTTTTATTCGCTGGGACCGCACCAAAAATTGTCAATTGCAGGTAACGCATATCGTGTGATCACTAGTATAGTGGGCATACGTTTTCAAGGTGTTGTATCTTTACAAAATATTAGTTAAATTTATATTGTTTTACATTTCAGGTTATTACAAACTATTTAACACATAATTGTAGAAAGTATGACCTTTCGCCATTTTCTTCAAAATGTCTGCACCAATTTCAAATATTTAACTAGCTGTAAGTGGAATTCTGTCTTAAGGCAATTAACCCTCCGTCGGTCGGATATTTTTTCACCTTCGAACGGTCGGAAAGGTCTGGATGGACCACTATTCATTTTACATGCATTTATATGGGATAAATGAGTTTTTGGTGTCTTATGTATTAACGATTATATAAAAAAATCAAGAAATATGAAAAAAATCGTTGCTTTTTTTGTTAATTTTTCTGTTTTAAATCAATGAAAAACAATATTTATTCTTTTTCGGCGCATTTGAAATGAATATGTGCATTACTCATCCGATTTTTAGTGTTTGCAATTACCAATTAGTTTGGTTGGTTTTCAAGGAACTCTCGTCATGAAAATACTATCATTCATGTTAGAACACATATCAAAGAATATAAACAACGTAGTTTGAATAGAAAATACCATGAAAAAAGACAAAATACTGGTTCATATATATCAAAAAGCGTATATTTCATACAAAACGTATGGGTGGTCTAGACAGACCTTTCCGACCGTTCGAAGTATAAAAAAGTTAATATCCTTATAATTATCCTTCTGTACATTTTTTCGTCCTGATTTTTTCATTGATCGACACAGTCTGACCAGACCACGGCGACCGACGGAGGGTTAAGGCATCGTGCCTTAAGGCAAATTGCTGAAACTTCCCGTACTATTTTTTTTTTTTAAACGATTAATATTTTTGAAAAAAATTTACTTCAAAAAAATAAGATTTTTGAGAAACTATAAATTGGACCAAAAATTACTTTTATAATGTTTCAGGAATTACTTAGCATTTATATGATCGTAAGTTTCATAAGTAATATCAAAATAAAAATTTACCGGTATTACGGAGGACTTTATTATAGAATATTTAGCGAAAAATATAAAATTAATTGAAAAATCAAATAAATTTTGATATTATTTACACGTGAAATTATAAATATCAAATAAAAAAAATTAAAAAAAAATATCTGAATCGGGAATTGAACCCCGGAGCAAAAATTAGTATTCCACGACGATAGCCATTTGGCCAATCCGCTGTTGATAAGGAAAAACATCGCAAGCTATGCATGACGCGCGCTGCTACAATGCAAACTTTAATTAATCTTTATAATTAAACCGCTTTTCATAGGCCTCTAATATTTTACCACAGTCAGTTTGGGCATCAAATCTACCATTGTGCCAAGTTTCATCAAAATCCGAGACGAGCAACGCGCGGGTTCTCCTTTTTAGAAAAAATGGAAGTATGTGTGTGTGTGCGTGTGTGTGTATGTGTGTGTATGTATGTGCGGATACAAATTTTCGTCGACGATTTCGGGAACACGGATCAACCGATTTGAATAATTCGGTTCGTATTGATTCGATTCGAAAAAACATTCGATTCGTATTGATAAGGATACGTGTTGATTAGTTTTTGGCGAAGGCAGGTCTAGCCGTTCCGAAGATACGGGGCAAAAAGTGCCGAAAACGGTAACTCAGTTTTTAAGAGAACGGAGCGTCCGATTTGAATAATTCAAAAAACACTTGCATTGACAAGATGAAGAATCGATCAGATATTGTGTGAGTATGTGTGTGTGTATATATGTACGTGTGTGTATGTATGTGCGGATACAAATTTTCGTCGACGATTTCGGGAACACGAATCAACCGATTTGAATAATTCAAAAAACATTCGATTCGCATTGATAAGGAGACGTGCTGATTGGTTTTTGGCGAAGGCAGGTCTAGCCGTTCCTAAGATACGGGGCAAAAAGTGCCGAAAACGGTAACTCAGTTTTTAAGAGAACGGAGCGTCCGATTTTAATAATTCAAAAAACATTTCACTTGTATTGATAAGAGGAAGAATCGATAAAATTTTTATGGAGGTAGGTCTAGCGGTTTCGGAGATACGGAAGAAAAAGTAAAAAAATGAGCCATTTGGCGGTCAAAAATGATCATTAGACATATGCACATCAAATTATCAGATATTTTATAGAGATTTTAACAATAAGCATACATTTTGTTAACATTCCTATGGGTTCCGTACCAATGCTTATGCGTTAGACAGCGACGCGGGGCTTACGCGCTTTATATTTTGTCTCTATGCAGTTAAAGCAGTACGATTGCTTTGAAAAAAAAGTTCAGATCTTGCACAATATGTCAAAATAAAGGAAAAAAATTTTTTTTTAAAAAAAAAAAAAAAATTAAAAAAATTTTTTTTAAAAAAAAAATTTTTTTTTCAAAAAAAAGTAATTTTTTGTCCAATTTATAGTTTCTCAAAAATCTTATTTTTTCAAAGCAAAATTTTCTTCAAAAATGTTAATCGTTTTTAAAAAAATAATAATTTTTGGTACGGGAAGTTCCAGCAATTTGCCTTAAGGCACGATGCCTTAATTGCCTTAAGACAGAATTCCACTTACAGCTAGTTTATTTATTTTTGGCAAAGGACGCTCAAGCCATTTTTTCAAGTATCAATTTTTTAAAATCAATTCTAATTTTTATTAACGTTAAATGTCGCATCATAAACGGTCAAACTATTTCTTCATAATTAATAAAGATTTTTTGCTTTCCTAAAAAATTATAAATATAGTTTTAAGAAATACTAATTTATTTCAAATTATACTAACTAATTATCTCGCAAAAAAGTTATTTGAGAAAATATCTAGAAATTGGAATGTGACCTAGAAGTTACACATGCCAGAGAGGGTTTATTGGAAATTGTGTTTATTGGTTTTGTAGAAGAATTGTTTGAACAGTTTCTTCTTAACCATTTTTTAGTTTTTAACTAAATGTAAAAATTTAAAACTGATTAGTTCACTATTATTAGAGTTGATCACAGCCTTGGATGAAAATACTGTTCGTCAGGTTTCAAAAATTTTTATTGATTAATTCAAATTATTCCTATCATTTATAAGTTCCTAGATTGCATCGGGGCAAAATGTCACTTAATAAAAAAGTGACTCTGAAACTTAATAAAAAAGTAGTATTATGCTGTTAGATGGGGCTCGCCCGTAGGTAAGCGGATAAGAGCGACGGGACTTGTTTTAGAGGTCCCGGGTTCGATACCCACTTCGAGCAGCCTGTTGTCAGGCAACATTGACAACGATTTTTCTTGGAAATATAGATAGCAATATGTTTCCAAGTGAAAATAGCCCTCACCCGGCATTGCTGCACCAATAAAAATACTCGCCCTATTGCAGAAATTGTAATAATATATTAATATATCATATAGAGATGTGACAACTGATTGGGTTGCCGTCTATCAAACAGACTAGTATTAAGTCAAATCGGCACAACAGCTTATACCATTGGGTCCTGATTGCTGTTCAAAAATTAAAAAAAAAATGCTGATAGATGATAAGTTCAGCCATTGATAAATACTATTTATTAATTAGAATATAAAAAATTGTATACTTATTGTTAGATTTTCCCCAAATGTATGTTACAGCTACATATGTAAAATACGTAAATTATAAGTTGGTGTGGCTTTTTCAAAAATAATACTCCCGAAATTGCTGGTTAATCCCAAACAATGAACAATATTTTGATAAATATAACCTTCTTCTTTTCTGATAATGACAATATCAATCTAAATAAGAAAATAAAAACTTAAGGAAACTCTCAAACTCTCAAAACGATTCTAATAAAAGTTAAGTAATTTGAACTAAATTACTTAAGGTGATCACTGAAACCGAACGTAATTAGATGACTATGAAGACAACCGGTTGAAATCCGAAATGTAGATTAATTAGAAATATCTGCATTCAACTTGCACTAGGCTGAAACTCGAATCGACTAAACCGAAATTGGATGTTTTCTATAGGAAGAAGAACTCGGAACTCGATCGAATACATTAACAAGACTGAACTCGTCCGAAGACTGAATCAGCCCGTATACAGAAAGAGAAACTGGATCAGACCTGAATTATAACTGACCTCATATCAATGCATGGGTCA